ATTTCATTCAGCAAGCATTTATTGAGTGCCCTACTTTAGTCTTTGTTCTCAGGCAACTCCCATTCTAGTGGGGGATTCTAAAATATAAACAAATCATTGCAAAACATAATGATGAATGCAATAATAGAATAAGGTAAGAATAGCACAAAGGAAGGTGAGAAGTAGTAATGCCCACAATCGTCTCATCTTCATGTCACTTGATAAAGGAAAAAGCTAATTTACTTTTCATCTGTTTTTTCCCCTGAAAATCACCATTCATTAGAAATAATCTCAGAAATTAAAAGTTAAGTTTTTATATTATTATAATTATTAATTTGGACAATGATTACTTGAAATTATATATTCATGTGAAAAATTCAAATAATAATAAACTTCAACATCCTTCCAGCTTGTTCACTAAAAACTTACTCCCAAAATTAAGTAATCTTTTTCTAGAAACTTCTTTATTGAATTTTTTTAATTGAGGAAAAACATTATAAAATGTGCTTTATTATAATGGACAGTGTTGCTTCTGGTCAATGGATACTATCTGACAGGACAAATAGTTGGCACTGAAACTACTAACACATTCAGAATCTAATCTCCGGTGAATCCAGCTTGAACTCTCAAAAGCTGACTGTGGAACACACTGTACTTTGTAATAGAAAATTCACGCTAAAAAAAAAAAAATGGACAGAAATAGTTATCTCAGATCCATTGTTAAAGACAATCTGCTCCATAAATTTTTTTCAACAAATGAAAGCAATATTTAAGTTTTATGGGCCTGTCACCAACTGGAAAGTATGTTACATTTTCTAAATTTAGTCTTCCTTTATCTCTGTTGTCTACATCAAAGAGAAGTTAACTGCATTATCTGATTCTGCTGCCAATTTTTATGTTTTGCAATACATTTCACATTCTAGATCTCACACTCTACTTATCTCACTCTGACTTTTTCAATGCACATTACATCTTTTATTATATTAAAATCAGCCAACAGTCTAAAAATAAAAATGCTGCTGTGGAATACTGTTTTTAAGCTTCATTACAATGGTTGTTAAATTCGAAAAAGATCAATAAAACCTAGGTTGTTTGGGGACTTAATAGCTGCTGCTTCAAAAGGTTGTTTTAAATAACATTGAATCTTAAAAGGAAAAAAAAAATGCTTCTATATGTAGTCACATTTCGGCATTAAGCAGTTCTGAAAAGAATTTTAGAAATGGCAACAATTGGTCGGGAGGCTAAGCCAGACAAATTCTGGTTTTTCTGGACACAACTAGTTTTCTTCATTCCCACTGAGGAGTGCGAAAAGCAGTAGTATGAAAGCTAAAAGAAAAAGTGTATACCAAACCCAAAGTTAAGTTGTATTTCCTAACTATCTTAACTACATATCACTGCCTAACAAACTACCTAACTTCGTAGGTTAGCACAGAACTATCTTATTTGCTCACAATTTTGTGGATCAGAAATCTGGGCTGGGTGGTTCTTTTCTGGTCTTCCCTGGGGTCACTCATACAACGGCAGTCATCTGGCACGGTGGCTGGAGCTGAATGGCCTAGGATGGCCTCACTCGCATATCTGGGGTTAGTGTTAACAGTAGGTGAGGACTGTCTCTCCATATGATCTCTTATTCTCATGGAGACTAGTTCAGGCTCCTTCCCATGGTGGTCTCAGTATTCCAAGAGGGTAAGAACTCTCACAAAGTCACTTTCACAGCATTCTATCAGTCAAAGCAAAGTACAAAGCCAGCTCAAATTCAAGGGGATGGAGAAACAGTCTCCATCTCTTGATAGGAAGAGATGTAAAGTCACACTTAACAGGTGTGTATAGATAAGAGTGGGAAGACTTTGTGGCTATTTTTTCCAACCTACTACACTAACAATGGCTTAAAATTCAGAAACAATACAGAGTTCAAGACCAGCCTTAGCAAGAACAAGACCCTGTCTCTACTTAAAAAAAAAAAAAAAAACTAGAAAGAAATTAGCTGGACAACTAACATTATATAGAAAAAATTAGCCGGGCATGGTGGTGCATGCCTGTAGTCCCAGCTACTCAGGAGGCTGAGGCAGTAGGATTGCTTGAGCCCAGAAGTTTGAGGTTGCTGTGAGCTAGGCTAAAGAAACAATACAGAAAATGATCGATCAATTTGATTAAATGAAAATTTTTAAAAATCTTATACTATACAAATACCATAAGTAAAGTAAAAAGATGAATGCCATGAGTTGAAAATCAGTAAATCTGGGTATGGGCACATGAAGAGTCATTACACTATCGTCCCTATTTTTGTTTAAAATTTTCTACAATAAAAAGTTAAAAAAAATGTATTTATTTTTTTAAGATGAGGGAACTCTTTTTTTTTTTTTTTTTTTTTTTTTAGACAGAGTCTCACTCTGTTGCCCAGGCTAGAGGGCTGTGGCATCAGCCTAGCTCACAGCAACCTCAAACTCCTGGGCTCAAGCAATCCTACTGCCTCAGCCTCCCAAGAGCTGGGGCTACAGGCATGTGCCACCATGCCCAGCTACTTTTTTCTATATAATTTTAGTTGTTCAGCTAATTTCTTTCTTTTTTTTTAGACAGAGTCTTGCTTTGTTGCCCAGGCTAGAGTGAGTGCCGTGGCATCAGCCTAGCTCACAGCAACCTCAATCTCCTGGGCTCAAGCAATCCTGCTGCCTCAGCCTCCCAAGTAGCTGGGACTACAGGCATGCGCCACCATGCCCGGCTAATTTTTTCTATATATATATATTAGTTGGCCAATTAGTTTCTTTCTATTTATAGTAGAGACGGGGGTCTCACTCTTGCTCAGGCTGGTTTCGAACTCCTGACCTCGAGCAATCCGCCTGCCTCGACCTCCCAGAGAACTAGGATTACAGGTGTGAGCCACCACGCCCGGCCTCTTTCTATTTTTTTATTAGAGACGGGGTCTCGCTCTTGCTCAGGATGGTCTTGAACTCTTGAGGTCAAACCATCTACCCGCCTCTGCCTCCCAGAGTGCTAGGATTACAGGTGTGAGCCACTATGCCCAGCCAAGATGAGGGAACTCTTGGTTTTGAAAAACTTCTAGTGAACATTATTATGGCTGAATAGAATACCTAGCATTGTGGTGCTTCATCCTGTGATTATGAAGAAAGCCTGCCAAGGATAAAGCCACAACATTCTTGATAGTAGAGCAGGATAACAGAAACAACCTGGTTCTTGATGACTGGGCCATGGAATACACCAATCCTGGATATTTAGTTATATTATCTCCGTTGTTTAACTCCGTGAGTTGTTTTCTGTTATTTGTAGTAGAAACCATCCTAACCAAAATGGAAAAAAATGTATTTGTGTGCGTGTAAGGTCTGTAAGAGTGGTACTGGGTAGTATTTCTGCTCCATCTTACAGAGTGTCTAGTAAAACAGCATTCCTTTAGTTGGACCATAGGCCTTAGACTTAAGAGTCTAATGCAGAGTTGATTTTGAAACAAATTCAAAACCAATACAAGGTACCATCCTGTATATGTCAGAGTCATGATTAAATCCTTATAGTCACTGTTTCTTTGTACCTCTCAAATTCCAGAGGCATTAAGCTAGCCAGTATATCACCTTCCACCTCTATCTTGCCCTGCTTTACCATGAGTGAGAAAATCTTAGTAATCACATTGCTACACATGCCAGGGACTGGCAATCCTCCACCTACAACCAGTGATGGGGTCCTCATTGCCAACCAGCTGCAGAGTGATACAATTCCAGAATTCTTTTCTTGGCACCTCCTTCCTGGGGCCACATACAGTATCAATTATCTTAAGGGGAGTGCTCTCAGGAGAACAGAGAAAGGAAAACAGGAAAGGGCAGGGGAAAAAGTTAAGTATGTAATCTCAGCTGGAGACCAGCCTCAACCTGACCCTCGGGGAGCTCTGGAGCATGAACTGTACTGCAGAGTTGGCTCCACCTTTTGTACCACTATGCCAGTCAGCCATTGGTTGTGAGCTGTGTGGGGTGAGGATGGGGTTTTGGGTATGTGTGTAACACTCATAGCAGCTAAGGGTAAATGTACCCAGTTAAGGGGCCTGATTAAGGGGATCTAGGTGGAGGAGCATCAGCAGTGTTCACTACAATTTCCCAACTTACTCCAAGTAATAGCCAAAATCTTACATGACCCTGCATGATCTAGCCCATCCCTGCCTAAACACTCCCTTTTTCTATGATCACTTCCAGTTACTCTCCCCCTTTTTCACTGCACTTCAGCTACACTGGCCACCTCACAATTCCTCAAATTCTCCAGCACATTCCTGCTTCAGGTCCTCTGCACTCGTCTGTTTCATCACCTGGAATGATTCCCCCACCTCACCATGTCCTCATGAGAAGGTCCCTTATATATCTTTCAGGTATTTACTCAAAATACACCTTCCAAGTAAGGTTTTCTCTGGCCACTCTATCTAAAATTAAAACTTCCACCTCTAACCAACATTTAAAATCCCTTTATTTTTCATTACTTTTATCCTAGCACTTATCAGTACCTAATATACTATATAGTTTTCTTATTTATCTTATTTATTATATGGTCCCACTCTAAAATATAAGATGGGTGATACTTCATTAGATCCCTAGAGGCGGACAAAAAAACAGACAAAAAAAGAGTAAAAATAAATAAATAAATAAAATAAAATATAAGATGGGGAGCACTTAAAACAGCACCTAATAGGTTGTAAGCTCTTAGCTAATAGTTGTTGAATACGTAAATGAATGAATGAATGATTCTTGGCATGAAATGTAAACCTCAATAAATATTGTTCAAACTAAACTGAACTGAACTGAATAGAAAATATCTGCATAGCCCCCTAAGTAATATAGATGGGGAAAGAGCAAATATATTGTTACAGAGTTCTCCATAGATTACATGTTCTTTCTTCAATAATATTACAATAGCTTAATTTCTTCATGTGATGTTATATGTGTATATGTTAATATATAATATACTATTTATACATATAAATATTAGTGAATAAAATTAGAAGCACTAAAGATTTTCTAATTTTATTTAAATGAGTTCAAATCAAGCTCAATATTCCAGATCTACATACAATAAAGTAAGGTAAAGATATAACAAAATTAAAGTAAATACAGGTTGTATATATAGCTCAATTCCTATCTTATAAAATTTAAATTCAAAGATGAAACTATTTAAGCTCTTTACTGCAATGCAACATCATATTCTGATCTCAGAGAGTAGAAAACCATTAAGACAAAAAATTTCAAATCTCTCAATCCTAAAATCTATCAGTAGATACCAAAAATCTTCAAGGTACATTAAAGCTTTCTAGAAAAGAAGTCTTTTTTAAAACTAAGCTTACTAAAAATAAAACACACCTATCAGACACTCTATGGCATTTTTTGCTGATGTGTCTACCAGCATGAGATTAGCCTTGGGCTGAGGCAGCCTCAGAACCAACACTGGCTTCTTCCTGCAAATCATCTCCAGCAGAGGGTTCTGACTCAGCTGGAGAATTTTCTTCTTCTAGCTCAGCATATTCATCAGAGCTTTTGGTCTCTGTTGTACCTTTATCATTATTGATGGCAACAGCTTCATCCAGAGCTGCAAGTATAATCTCTGGGGTCGTTTCAGTGTTGACTTCCGTGGTTTCGCCCATCGCGGCGTCTGTAACCTCTGGCGCAGCTTCAGCCCCAACTGCTATTGTCTCTGGAGCAGCCTCCAAATCCCCTGGACAGGCTGGAGCCTCTGTCAGGACCACAACAGTAGTACCTGGAATTTCTTCAGCACCTACCACCTCAGCTTCCACTACAGATACTTCAGGAGCTTCTGAACTTGCTTTCTCAGCTTCCACAGGATTCTCTTTTTCACCTTTAAGATTCAGTCCATTAAGTACAGTATTAATGTAAACAGCATTGGGAATACAATTGAATACTGTTTAGTCATTTTGAAAAGTAAGACAGATCTACATGCACTGATATGTAATGGTCTTCAAGGTAGACTCTCAAGTAAAAAAGCAGGGAAAGAACAATGTGTACAGTTACTATCTATGTTAGGACAAAAGGGGGGTAAGTTATATACCTAGATAGTTGTATTTGCAAAGACTCTCTCCAGGAGGATGAAAAGAAGCTGGTTTTACTCGTTGCCTCTTGGGAAATGAGGGATTTGCTTTTCTGTAAACTCTTTTGAACTTAAAAAAACCATATGATATATTACTTATTCAAATACAAAGAATATGAAAATAAGTAGCCAACCTACTCAACCTTTTATGTGAAAGAGCATGGAAGAGTAGCCATGTTGTTAGCTGGTGACCCTGAGGAATCACTAATGCTCTGTCAGCCTCAGTTTTGTCATCTATAAAGTAGGGATATTGATGATAACTACCTCACAGGGCTACTGTGAAAATTAATTAAAATAATGTGTATGAAAAAGGGCTTAAAACCAATAAAGTGCAATGAAATGCTTTCTTATTACAAACAACCTTCTTCTGATTATATTCAATAATATTTACTGATGATATTGTTTCTTATTATTGTCATGATTAACAGGTTAAAACTGGTTCATGAGCAGCTAATATCTCTGTCCTTAAATAGTGATCATAAGGCCGGGCGTGGTGGCTCACACCTGTAATCCTAGCTCTCTGGGAGGCCGAGGCGGGCAGATTGCTCAAGGTCAGGAGTTCGAAACCAGCCTGAGCAAGAGCGAGACCCTATCTCTACTATAAATAGAAAGAAATTAATTGGCCAACTGATATATATATAAAAAATTAGCCGGGCATGGTGGCGCATGCCTGTAGTCCCAGCTACTCGGGAGGCTGAGGCAGAAGGATCGCTCGAGCCCAGGAGTTTGAGGTTGCTGTGAGCTAGGCTGACGCCACGGCACTTACTCTAGCCTGGACAACAAAGCGAGACTCTGTCTCAAAAAAAAAATAAAATAAAATAAAAAAAAATAGAAAAATAAAAAAAATAGTGATCATAGTAATTGATAATAATGGCATTATAGTTGAGATAGAAAAAAAGTATGATTTAAAGCAAGCAGTTTAAGGCAAGAAATATACATTAGGGTGAAAATATAAAGTTTCTGTTCCCATGGCCATTATTTTATCAACTGAGTGACTCAATATACACAACTGATTCTACTAATGTCAAGTGTACTTTGGGCAAAGACACAGGTGGTCTTAGCCAAAACCAAAAGAAAAATTAGTTTTATGATTTTAAAAAGTAATCAGAGAAACAAAAGATCAAGCTGCTGAGAGAGACAGATTGTAAATTATGCCTGCATGAATGGATGCTTTAGCAGGGGAAAAATCATATTACCACACAAAGAGGTCAAAGCCACTGGTCAGCAGTATAAATGTAAAACGTGTTCATTTATCAAATGCACTCATCCAAAAGGTATAACAATATTCTTTAGATTTTGGTTGGACTTTTCTTTCTAAATGAACTCCTACCCAGAGCCATCCTTGATTAAGTTAGTAAAAAAGCCAAAAGCAAATGCTGTTTGTTGCTAGGCTAAGATGATGGGAATTAGTGCCTCAAAAAATAAATGAAAATAAAAAATCAAGAAATTCACTTTACCTTGGAGTGGGTGTAACTCTGCTTTTGTTTTTTCTTTCAAATTTGTTACATGTTCGGTGTGTTTGGCTTGATCTGATGTTACCATCTTGTAAGTCTGAAAGCAAAGATGTGCTTAGGTTTAACTTCTTGAGCTTTAAGATTTGTCATGGCAACTTCAAACCTATATACAATTCTCCATGTAATAATCATTAGAAGTTTAAACCATAATCCCAGTGTAGCAAAGAAGGGAAACCAATGCATACCATTTGCTTTTTTACTTCCCCTTTGGAAACCTTTGTCATTAAATAGGATGCTTAGAAAAGGAAAGAAACAGATGCTCTAACAGTAGTCAAAAATCACTGAAAACATGCAGAGCAAATAGAAAGAAGACAAGATGAAAAAAGTAAATTATGCTAGGACCAAAATATCCTGGCAGGCATTTACAAAATCCTCCAGCTTTTATCCTAGAGAAATGGAAATCTAGGTTCACACAAAACCTGTGCACAAATGTTCATGACAGCTTTATTTGTAACAGCCAAAAACTGGAATCATTTCAGACGGCCTACAATGGATGAATGAATGGTTAAACCAACCATGGTCCATCCATAACATCAAACACTACTCAGCAGAAAAAAGGAATGAACTGCAGATACATGGAACAATTTGGATGAATCTCCAGGTAACTGTACTGAGTGAAAAAAAGCCAATCTTAGAAGATTATGTACCTTATGATACCATTATGTAACATTCTTGAAATGACAAACATAGAGAAACAGATTAGTGATTGCCAGGGGTTAGGAAGGGAAGAGAAGGGAGAGCAGGAGCAGAAGGGAAGTAGGTACAATTATAAAAGGACAACTCAAGGGATCTTTGTGGTTATGTAACTGTCCCATATTTTGATAGTGGTGATAAATACACAGATATACATATGATAAAACTGCATAGAATCAAATACACACACACAAATGAGTGCATATAAAACTGGTGAAATGTGAATAAATGGGTTGTATTTAATAAATCAATGGGTTGTATCAGTGTTAGTTTCCTGGTTGTGATATTATACTATAGTTATGAAAGAAATTATCATTGGGGAAACAAGGTCAAGGGCATATGAGATCTCTCTGTATTATTTCCAATAATTGCATTGAATCTCAATTATCTCACAATAAAAAGTTTAAGAAAATCTTAAGCACAGACATATCCATGGGCCATATGATAGTTTATTTAGTCAGCAGCCAATTAAAATGTACATTAAAAAATTCATTTAGCAAATATTATTGATCACATGGTCTATACCAGCCCTGAGTGAGTAAGAGGAATATAATAAATATGGGAAACACAGAGATACTCAAGTGTGTATTTTTATAAAGAAACAGCTCTTAAATCTAAATAATATTGTATATTATATATTATTTTTCTTTTAAAATTATGTATCATATAAATTTTCAGCATTGGATTAGAAGGGCTAAAATATAGCACTATAATTAGAAAAAGACACTTTTGATACCAAGGGAACATAGAGCAGAGGAGGATGGGCACTTAATCAGCAGGATTCACCAACTTTAGTACTTACAGCATCACTTCTGGACACATTTGTTTGGTAAAGGGTGGCAGCAGGTAGTTTGTGGAGGAAAAAAGTGATGGCTTTACATTGGGAGGTGTAGATAAATAGTGTGAGTAGTTATTAATAGTAATGAAAGCAGTCATTATAAATAAAAAAAGAAAAATTAAAAAAAAAAAAGAAAATATTCCAAAATGACATATTCCTAGATTCTCATAAAGATTCCTTAGGTAAGCTAAGATTAGGTCATTAAAAGCCACAATATGACCTAACTGTAGGTTACTTAAGAAACAGTATTGGGAAGAAGGCTATCTTAATCATTGACAAATGTACAGGCTTCCTTTCATTTCATATTCAAGTAGTCTTCTTTGGCCTGTATTCATATTACACAACAATATTAAAAAATGAAAATCTCATTATTCAGATAATGTTGTTTATATTACTCCAGCTTTTAAAAAACTGTTGGTAGTCTTAGAGTTGATAATTTGAAAAAGGGCAGCCAGTCCAGAGATCCATAAAATCTCTACTCAAAATGTTAAATGGATTTAATAAAAAACTGAATCAATCATTTATGTTCAAATGGTGTTTGGTAAAGAGGGTTCCTTGTATTGGGTTACTTTAATATTTGGTATGCCTTTGACTGTAAAGTATTAATATAACACTTATAATAAAAGTATAATTTAATGCCAGGTACAGTGGCTCACACCTATAATCCCAGGACTTTGGGAGGCCAAGACAGGAGGATTGCTTGAGGAAAGGAATTTGAGATCAGCCTGAGCAACATAGCGAGACCCAATCTCTACAGAAAATTTTTTTAAAAATTAGCTAGGTGTGGTGGTGCATGCCTATAGTCCTAGCTACTCAGGAGGCTGAGGCAGGAGGATCACTGGAGCCCAGGAGTTTAAGGTTTCAAGGTTGCAGTGAGCTATGAGCATGCAGCTGCATTCCAGTCAGGTGACAGAGGGAGACCCTGTCTCAAAAAAGAAAAAAATGTACAATTAAAAAATATTGGTAGTGGTTTAACTCTTAGTGGTAGGATTACAAATTTTTTATTAATTTTTATATTAATATATTTATTATATTTTCTAAATTTTTAATAATCAGAAACCAAGCACCTTATTAAAAAATTATATCACACAAATTACAAACCATTTTACAGTATTAAAATTATACTGTAAAAATGGAAAATTCATAACCAGGGGTGGAAGTAGTGATGCCAAGTGGCCCTTTTATAACAAACTTCCCAGGGTTTAGTGAATTCAGACTTGAACTATTTGGCTTTGAAACCTGTGCAGCAAACAGGATCAAAAGAAATGATAGTCAACATCTTTGTATAAAAACAGGGAATATTTGCCCAGTAAGGCAGGCGCTCCTGATACCGTACAGGACCAATATGCTAAGTCAGCATCCTCAGTTCTCAGTACACTAAATGGAACCCGTGCACAAGTTCACATCCCTGAAGTGACCATCCCAGCAACAACATCCCAAGGGACATTAGTCTTACTGCTCAAGGGGCTAAACTATAAAATGAGAAAAGATTGACTTCAGGCAGAATGTAAGAGATAAAATACTAGAGTAATGCACCCCTCATGTGTGGCCCAGAGTTAGCTTTTCCAAATCCAGCACATTTGAGCACAGAGTAAAGGCCCGTTAATAGACAGCGTCTCAAATTTAGACTTTTCAATTTATACTATTTAAAAATGATATTTATTTATTAAATATAAGCATTTAAAATATACTAAAATTTTTATAAACAAGTCTAGTGAGACCCCATCTCTACAAAAAAATAAAAACAATTAGCTGAGTGCGGTGGCACCCATAGTCCCAGCTACTCTGGAGACTGAGGCAGGAGGATTGCTTGAGCCCAGGAGTTTGAGGCTGCAGTGAGTTGTGATGACACCACTGCACTCTAGCCTGGGCAACATAACAAGAACTTGTCTTAAAAATAAATAAACAAATAAATATAAATAAAATTTAAAAAACAAAATAATAAAACTATGTAAAAATATAAAATTGATAAAAATTAAGACAACAGTAAAAAGGCTGGGAGGAAGGAGGAAGGGATGAATAGGTGGAGTATAGGGATTTGGGGGACAGTGACACTATTCTGTATGATACTATTACACAGGGGTGGATACATGTCATGTATTTGTTAAACCTCATAGGATATATAACACAAAGAGTGAACCCTAATGCAAACTATGGGCTTTGATTAATAGTAATGTATCACTATTGGCTCATCAATTATAACAAATGCACCACTAATGCAGTATGTTAATAGAGAAAGGAAGAGGGGGTTGGGAGGAGGTATATGGGAATTTCTGCACTTTTCACTTATTTTTCTATAAACCTAAAACTTCTCTAAAAAAAAAATCTATTAATTTTTTTACAAGTTAATCTTTCAAAACAGATCTTTTAAACTGTTAAAAATAGTACCTACCTTACAGAATTGTTGTGATTATTAAATGAGCCATGAGTCTGGCATATGATAAACGAATGTCAGCTATTATTGTTAGCATTTATAATGATATTGTTTTCACTCAAAGTTATCTATATTAGTGGTATTAGAAAATATTGTTATTGTCCTCAAGATATAGGGCAAAAAAAATGTTGATTTTATACTTAGAAATATCTTCATAATAATTTAGTAAATACGTTCATATGAAAGCTTAATATTTCTAATGATTGCAATGTATTTTTCAGATGTGTATTCTTTTTGTTTGTTTGTTGTTTTGAGACACAGTCTCACTCTGTTGCCCGGGCTAGAATGCCTTGGCGTCAGCCTAGTTCACAGCAACCTCAGACTCCTGGGCTCAAGCGATCCTCCTGCCTCAGCCTCCCGAGTAGCTGGGACTACAGGCATGTGCCACCGTGCCCGGCTAATTTTTTCTGTATATTTTTAGTTGGCCAATTAATTTCTTTCTTTCTTTGATTTTTAGTTTTCAACCAAGCTTTTAATGAAAAGATCATAAAATAACAGTTTCTCATCACTGTACATTAAGACTGCAGGCTTCTGAACAGAGAGATCAGTCACCAGTGAATCGCTTTTCTGACACTGGATGGCTGCATGCCTGCAGCTCTGACCTGAATTTACCCAAACTCTGGAGAGAGGTAAATTCAGTGTGACAAGTGACAGCGGCGGTGGCCAGTGCAGGAGTGCCATCGTGGTATCCCTCCCCCTTTCTGGGAAGGGCATAAAATAGGACATGATCCCTCTTCCAGTTCCAATTAAACAAAACAGCTATATTAGAGATGGAGTCTCGCTCTTGCTCAGGCTGGTCTCCAACTCCTGACCTTGAGCAATCTGCTAGCCTCAGCCTCCCAGAGTGCTAGGATTACAGGAGTGAGCCACCGAGCCCAGCCCAGATGTGTATTCTTAATGACATTTAAACCAATTGCTATGTTGTATACTTATTTAATCCCATGTCCTGATCTTGACATTGCTTTAAGTTTAACCACAGGTTGTAAAATACATGAATTCCTGAAAATTATGGTTATTTAATCACTTACATAATATCCACCAGCACTGACTGTGACACCTACAAGCAGATAATAAATCATATTTGATCCAGATGATCCAGGGAATTTATTAGAGGACATCCGGCGAAGAGATGCTAGGAAAACAAGTTTAAACACAGTTAGCTTCACCACTTAAGCAAAACTATTTTATATAATTACATCTTTTAAAAAAATTTCCCCTCAATGGACCTAGAATCTATTAACATGAAGTGATTTTAGCTTAAGGGAACACAGTATTACAAAGCAGGGTAATAATTCCACTTGACATTTTCCCAATCTAATTTGATAAGTACTTTTGAAACCTGTCATCTGAATGCTCAGCATCATGCTCTCTTGGAAGGGGTGCAAGTGTGAGTAAGGAGAAATGACTGAAGGACTAAGCAATATTAACAGACAAATGAAATACATATTAGCAAAAGAAATCCCATTTACTATATGTACTTCACTACAGGATTCAATGGACATAATTATTTTGCAAAAAAGTGAATTAAATATATTTGTACCTAAAATTTAATAAAATTTATATTTATGTTAAATAAAACATTTTTTATTTCATCTAGAAATTTAACATATTTCTATACATCTATAATACCAATGTAGATATAGGGAGAAACCTCAATTTTTCTAATATAAAGCAAAGGTGTGCAGATAAAAACTTTTTAAAGCCAAATGTTGCCACAAGGTTGTATTTGAAATAGAAGTGCAATTTTATACAAACTAATATAAATAGATAAAAGTACTATATTATATTTAAATATATTTATTCTGTTTGCTAGCATTTGTATATCCCATAATGCTCTGGAATTGGAATTTTTACAATAGTCTCAAAGCTAGAAGGAGTTTAAACTTCATACGGCTCAAATTCTTTATTTTAAAGACAAAGAGTAGAGACATTTATGTATTCATTCAACAAATACAGTTGAGCACCTACTATGTGTTTGGAATTGTTAGAAGCATTAAAGATACGACTGTGAACAAGACAGACAAGGTCCCTAGTCTCAAGCAGCTCACAGTCTAGAAGGGGGGAATGGACGGACATACAGACAAATAATTATGATACAGTATGACAAATGTTATAATAGATGTTAAGCAAATGAAAATGCAGAGAAAAAACTCAACTAGTTGGCTCACGGTAGCTGTAACAATTGAAGAGACATGATTTGAGTTTTGAGGGAAAGTAGGAGTTTGTCAGATAAATATGGAAAGGAGAAATGGCATTGGAGGGAGAAGGGACAACATGTGCAAAAGCATGAGAGTTTGGTGACCTGGAAAGTGCAAATGACAGGTTCAATATCCCTTATTCAAAGTGCCTGGGACCAGGAGGGTTTTGGATTTCAGATTTTTTTGGATTTGGAAATATTTTCATATAGATAATGAGCTATCTTGGGGATAGGACCCAAATAAAACCATGAAATTCATTTGTTTTATATACATATTATATACATAGCCTAAAAGTAATTTAGTACAATATTTTTAATAATTTTGTGCATGAAACAAAGTTTATGTTTAGTATCTCTGTGTGGAATTTTCCACTTGTGACATCGTTTTGGTGCTCAAAAAGTTTCAGATTTTGGAGCATTTCAGATTTTCATATTATAGATGTTCAACCTGTCATTTGATGTGGCCTAACAGGAGTATGGGTGCAGGGACAATTGGGAGATCATGACTTGCACAGGGCACATCTTAAAACATTTGCACTGGTTACAAACTTTCATAGTAGCAAAATCACAATGTTCTTCGTTTGGATGTAAGTGGTCATCCCTTGGAAAAAACATTTTCCCTTTCAAATGTGCCCAAGAGGTTGTTATAAGAGGTTGCTAGAAGAGGCTGCTATAAGACCTTGACTTGTGGTGGGAATTTTTTTTGGCTTGAAAATAAATCTGTGATCAAACCGGGAATACACAGCTTTTGTATTTCTCAGACAGAAATATCAAAAGCATTTTTAAAGAAAATTATCAGAGATTTAAGTAGACTTAAATACAAATATAATTACAGCCAAGTTACTTAAAATAGCAATGAAATGGGAACTATTCAGTAAGGATTGATTAATTAGATATGCATCCATTCATACAATGTGAAACAAATAGACATTATAATTTTTGAAGAAAAGCATTAACTTACATGAGAAAGTATTTACAATATATTAAGTGAAACGTCACAGCAAAATACTCTGTATGGGACTATCCCAGATTTCTGGAATCAATGTACATAAGGAAAAAAAATGTGTGAGGATTAAACAAAAGTCTGGAAAACTAAATATACTAAAATTTAAATATTTTAAATTTAAAATGAGTGGTAGGATTGCCGGTGAATTTTATTTTCTGTTTTACTTGTCTGGCTTTTTCCCAATGATCTATCATAAACCTAAGTCATTTATTCATTAAAAAGTTATACAATTTTAAAAGCAAAAAAGGAGAGAACAAAATTTAATGAGACCGTTAAAAATTTATCCTTCAATGAGACTGAAACAATTTTGTCATCAAAGCAGAATGTACCAATGAAAGTTTAATTAATCTCCGTGATTGAAGACAAATTTATTTCCAGTCAGTAACAGTTCTTAAAATACACAAACCACTGCTACAAAAACAGTAATTAGATGAAAATTAGAGAAAGACCAGTACTGCTAACTAGGTTATTTACAATTTTTGAGCTACTTTTATTCCCCCCCTCCCCACGAGCTGGGGAGGAAATGATTCAGAACTTGTGCAGCTACAAAAAAAGGGTGCGTGTTCGTGTGTGGTGTCGACGGGGGCCACGGTCAGGGTCTCGCCTTTCCTCCCACGCTGCCGGACCAGAACAGCCCCGTTACCTTCAGAAGTCTGAAACAAACGGCTCCTCACTACTTCATCCGTGAAAAAATATACTGCCGCATCTTATTTGGTACAGGGGGGAAAACGAAGACGTATCTTATTTCTGATACTTGTGGGGCAACTTCCTCCCATCAGCATTTTAAAAGAAAAATAAAGCTAGTTGGAAGGCCTCCCTCCTTCCCTCCTCTCCCTCCACCACCACAGGCCTAATCCTAGCGGGAAAAATCGGCCCATGGAATTTTCCGCGGGAGCCTTTCTCCCCGAATCCGAATGGCCCGAACCCACCGTCTAGACTGAAGCTACCCCGGACCCCCGGGGAGCGGGGCGAAGCGAACCGCGGGCGGAGAGCCCCGCGGGCTGTGGGGGGCGGCCCCGCGGCGGAGGGTGCGGGACGAGGACGCGGAGAGCGCGGCGGGCAGAGCTGCGCCCCGCCGCTGGCTGCCGGGAGGGAGAAACAATTTTTCTTTCGCACAGCTATCAAGCACCTACTGTGCTCCAAGGCACTGTACTAGGCGCTTTCCCATAAGCCGAGCTCTGTTAAAGAAGCTTCCGACTCCCGTCGCAACTTCGCCTCCGGAAAACTTCTGAGGACGCTCCCCGTCTCTCTTCCCGCCCGTCCCCAGAGGCAAAGGTGAGGGGCACCTGGACGTCGGAGCCGAGCAGCTCGGAAGCCGCGGGACTCCCCGCTATCTCAAAGGACGGGGCCCGGAGGCCGCTTCGCCGTGGGAAGACAGACACTGGGGCCCGGCGCTCGCGGGGGCGACACCGGCCAAGTCGTCGGTGGATTCGCTCCGCGAGCAGTCACAGACCGGGCACCAAGCCCCGCGCCCGCCTGGCTCCCTGTCACGTCCGCCTTCCCACCCATCCTCTGCCTCCTCCTGAGGCCACACAGCGAACGGGTCCTTAATAAGAAAAGTGGGACACATACTCGGCTGCGAGTATGTGTCGGCCAGTCACTTGTAAAAGTGCTCTGAACTACCTATCTACTCATTTAAACTCGCACCCCTTATCGCCCCGTTTTACAGATGAGCAAACAAGGTTAAAGCCCCTTGTCCGAGATCAGGATTCGAACCCAGAAAGTCTAGTCTGGAACACTGCAAAGGTTCCCTACGTTCGAAGTCTTCGAGAACTCCGGGACGTCTCCCTCGAGAGGGAGTCTCCCCGCTTGCTCCCCCGCCTCCGATCCAGGCTTCTGCAGCTCGGGTCGGGGCAGCCAGCGTGTGCCGGCGGGTGCAGGGGCGCCGGCGCTCCGGTGGCCTTGACCGCTGGAGAGACGCTCCCTGCGCGCGCACTCACCGTCCTTCCCGAGCGGCGCGGGGCTGGGGGGCGCCCTCAGCGGCAGCGCCAGGGTCTTGGAGACCGCCCTGCGGAGATACATCGCGCCCGCCGTCCGCAGCGCTGCAGCCCCGGTGGCCGGATGCGCGCTGCCCAGACGCGCGCGGGCTGTGGCCGGGCAGCGCCCCGCCCCGCCCCGCCCCGCCCCGGCGGCCCCAGGGAGGCGGGTAGGACTCAGAAAGCATAGTTAGCTACCCTGAGTGATTAAATACTTAACACGGGCAAGTAGGTAATCTGTAGTTAATAAGGGGTCAAGTTTAGACTTCCAAGCAACACAAGAAGGGACTAGACACCCAGACCATCCAAGAAGGTGGTAGTCTTGAAAAGAGCAAAACAGATTATTAGTATGCTTGCTACATTTGACTAGCATCAAGTACACATCCTCTGGCAATTTGCGATTAGCTACCTCACTGATGGTGTGGAATGTTTAATGAACTGCTAGCTGCTGGTACAGACAGACAGACAAATCAAACCATGTTCGTCTACCACTATGGCTCATTCTTCCCTGAATTTTTTTACTTTCCAAAGACAGAAAATAGTCAAAGGCAGTAAAGGAGGCATTGTATTGTTATTTAATATATTGTAAGCATTAAATCCTAAGGCTCCCCTAAAAATGTTCTGAGTAAACATTTGTAAATTATGACTCCCAGGATACTGTTCTAAGCTTCCCTTTAGAATTCAATTGTAAGATCAGAGTCTGGTATAGTCTGAGGTCTTCTGGATCACCCCCAAGTTCCACAGTAGCCACCCAACCTCCATCAGTCAAACTGTGTATTAGAGTCTGTCAAAATGTTTATAATATGCTAGGGACTGTGCTAGATCCTGAGGAGTCATTATAATTTATCTAGTATCTATTATGTGATGATCACAGTTCCGGAGCTTTCGTCAATAAACAAGATAAAATTTCTCCTGTCACAGAATTTATAGCTTCAGGTTAAAGAGACATGGAAGCACATCTTTTCTCAGGGGTAGCTGCCAAGCCCATCATCAATGGGGTCAATGATCACAAAGAATCCTCTGATCAGGTAGCCATAATATATGCAGTCTAAGAGCTTTGACCAAAATCAAATTTGTTTAAACTATGCAAAAATAATATATATGTATATAAGGCTTTAAAAACTTTCCTCAAAGCATTGTCTTATCTATTTAACAATCCTAAGGCAGTGGGGGAATGTTGATTATCCCTGTATTACATATCAGAAAACTGAGGTAGTATAATACTGTGGTTAAGAGCATGAGTTTGGGAATCACATACCTGGTCTGATTTGCTGGTCTAAGTAAAATGTAGATAATTTCTATATTCATAGGGTTGATGTGAGCCCTAAAGCATATTACATGAAAACGTGCTCAGCTAGTTGGAGGAGGCAGTGCTAGATTCAGACATCCAGCCTAAGCTCGAGCCTCCCCTGCCACTCTGCTGCCTTTCAGTGTGGCATGTGACAGGAGTCATTGTATTCTACATTCTCTGATTACATGGTAAGGTCTAGTGCTCTCTAGGCTGGGTGTGGCCATCCCAGCTAGGAGATAAAAGAACCTTGAGATATATAGTGCCACTTCTCCCAATTATTTTTTTAGTTAAAAGCTCGTGCCTCTCAGGTTAAAGAGAATTTCTACCTATTCTACTACTCCTATAGGATATGTGGCTTTCCATTTTGAAGACAAACTCTTTTCACAAGTTTTTCTTTTTGTTTTTTGTTTTTGTTTTTTTTTTGAGACAGAGTCTTGCTTTGTTGCCCAGGCTAGAGTGAGTGCGGTGGCATCAGCCTAGCTCACAGCAACCTCAAACTCCTGGGCTCAAGCGATCCTTCTGCCTCAGCCTCCCCAGTAGCTGGGACTACAGGCATGCGCCACCATGCCCGGCTAATTTTTTCTATATATATTAGTTGGCCAATTAATTTCTTTCTATATAGTAGAGACTGGGTCTCGCTCTTGCTCAGGCTGGTTTCAAACTACTGACCTTGAGCAATCCGCCCCGCCTTGGCCTCCCAGAGTGCTAGGATTACAGGCTTGAGCCACCCTGCCCGCCTCTTTTCACATCTTGATGAAACATTTCCCAAAAGAGTACATGCCCTCAGGTTGTCAAATTCACTCTGTAGCAAGCTGTTTCTCCCAAACCCAAGAGAATTTTAGTATTAAATCTTTGCTATGAAAGACTCTGTAAGGCTCAGGCAATAGTTTCCCAGCTGTTAGTCACATTGTTAAATGTGCCCTTGAGCACATCCTTGACATTTTTCTTGGTCTGGTTGGGAAAACAATCCAGGGTCAGAGGTAATTCAGCTTACCTTAGATGAGTTCCACCTAATCGTGATTGTTGACAAAGATGATATTACTCTTGAAAACATACTATAAGAGTATTCTACTGGCAATATTAATTATACTTTCTTTCTTTCTTTTTTTTAAGACAGAGTCTCACTCTGTTGCCCGTGCTAGAGTGCTGTGGCATCAGCCTAGCTCACAGCAACCTCAAACTCCTGGGCTCAAGGGATCCTCTTGCCTCAGCCTCCCAAGTAGCTGGGACTACAGGTGTGCGCCACCATACCTGGCTAATTTTTTCTCTATATATTTTTAGTTGTCCAGCTAATTTCTTTCTTTTTTTTTTTTTAGTAGAGACAGGGTCTTGCTCTTGCTTAGGCTGGTCTCGAACTCCTGAGTTCAAACGATCCACCCACCTCTGCCTCCTATGCTAGGATTACAGGCATGTGCCACCATGCTTGGCTCAATTATACTTTCAAGATTTAAGTGCTCTATAACCAAAAGCAATTTCCAAAGACTGACTGATTTCCTAGACTCCACAGAAAACTAGAAACAGCTAAGTTTTTCTTATCCCTCAATGGTCAGGCTTTAACTGTAAGTTTTGACAGATCAATATTGATATAAATTGAAACAATTTAGAAGAGTATCTAGGAAGACATATTGGCAAGCAATTAATGAAGTCCTGATAAGCATCCTTTTAATGGTAGAATCTATTTAGATAAAATGAAGGAGAAAAGGTAAATTCTTAAACTATTCTTTAAGGTCACTCAGTACTCACCCCATCTATTCATCACTTTCTCTTCTGCAGCAAAATAAACATGAGATTCCCTAACACTTCTATATATTTACCTAAGGCTAAAGCAAATTCCTAAACTGAGATGGCTTAAAACAACAGAAATTTATTCTCTAACAATTCGGGAGGCTAGAAGCCTGAAATTAAGGTGTTGACAGGGCCGTTTCCCCTCTAAAATCTATAGAGGAGAATCTTTCTTTGCCTTTTTTAGCTTCTGTTTGCCGGCAATCCTTGGCTTACAGATTCAGCACTCCAGTCTCTGCTTCCATCATTGCATCCCCATCTTATCCCTATGTGTCTGTGTCTCTTCTCTTACATATACCAGTCAGACTGGATTAAGGAGCCACCCTACTCCAGTATGAACACTAATGACATCTGCAATGAACTTATTTTCAAATAGTCAACTTTTTGAGGTACTGGGGGTCGGGGCTAGGACTTCAGCATATCTTTTGGGGGGACAAAAATTAACCTTTAACAACTTCTTTATTTTTTAGAGACAGGGTCTTGCTCTGTCACCCAGGCTGGAGTGCAGTGGCATGATTATAGCTCACTGCAACCTCAAACTCCTGGCCTCGTGATCCTCCTGCCTCAGCCTCCCAAGTAGCTGGGACTACAGGCATGTGCTACCATGCCTGGCTATGTGTGTGGTGTTTTTTTTTTTTTTGTAGAGATGGCAGGTCTTGCTATGTTCCCTAGGCTGGTCTGTAACTGCTGGTCTCAAGTAACTCTCTCACCTCAGCCTCCTGAAGTGCTGGGATTACAGGTGTATGCCACCACACTGGGCCTCAACCTTTAACTTCTTACACTAGAAACTTAGTTCATTTAACCTGTATTTTCCATGGCAAATTAAGAAAACAATTTAAATGACTACCTCATAGACACTAAATCTTAAGAAAGATCTACCTGATTCTGACTATTAAAAAACTTGACTCGGCCGGGCGCTGTGGCTCACGCCTGTAATCCTAGCTCTTGGGAGGCCGAGGCGGCGGATTGCTCAAGGTCAGGAGTTCAAACCAGCTGAGCAAGAGCGACCCCGTCTCTACTATAAAAATAGAAGAAATTAATTGGCCAACTGATATATATATAAAAAAATTAGCCGGGCATGGTGGCGCATGCCTGTAGTCCCAGCTACTCGGGAGGCTGAGGCAGGAGGATTGCTTGAGCCCAGGAGTTTGAGGTTGCTGTGAGGTAGGCTGACGCCACGGCACTCACTCTAGCCTGGACAACAAAGTGAGACTCTGTCTCAAAAAAAAAAAAAAAAAAAAAAAAAACTTGACTGTACCTGACATGTGATTTTGTCTGTATCCTCTTTTAAATGGAAATTCTCCTTTTACATTACTACTGAAAGAATTATCCTTTGACACAGTTAATTCTAATTTTTTCTGGGAAATTTAGACTCAGAATGATTCTTGCTCAGTCCAGCTACTCTCTTGAATTGAGAGGTAACCTAGAAATTATTTGCTGTGGTCTTCTTTTTATAATGTGCATTGGGAAGTGCAAAGTTCCAAGTGCAAAGGAAATAAAGCAGATGCACAGATATCAGCCAAGAGCAAGAGTCTTGATAACATTTGACTCCCAAGCTTTGCGCAGTGGCAGTATCGTAGCCATGAGGTTTTTCCGAGGCGCGATTATTGCTAATTGTAAACTTTTCCAATACCCCGCCATGAGACTGCAATATAGTCGGCATTGGCAATTTTTGACGGTCCCCACGGGACTGGAAAAATAAAAATAAAAAAAATAAAAAACAAACAAACAAAAAAAAAAAACATTTGACTCCCAGGCCTCAGTTACTCCTGGGCTCAGGTGCATTCCTGTTCTTGTGGTCTATGAGTTACTCTGCATCCTGATAACTTTTTACACAAACATAGTTTGAAGTTGGGCATGGTGGATCATGCCTGTAATCCTAGCACTTTGAGAAGCCAAGGCAAGAGTATCACTTGCGGTCAGGAGTTCAAGACCAGCCTGAGCAACATAGCAAGAACTCATCTCTACAAAAAATTTAAAAATCAGGTAGGCAGGGTGGTATGTGCTTGTAGTCCCAGCTACTCAGAAGGCTGAGGCAGGAGGATCACTTGAGTCTAGGAACTAAAGGTTGCAGTGAGCTATGACAATGTCATTGCACTCTAGCACCGCCAACATAGCAAGACTGTCTCCAAAAGAAAAAAAAAAGAAAAAAATATTCAAAAATGCAGTCACACTAATCATACTCCAAATTGTAAACAGCCACATGTAGGTAGTGACTACTGTATGGGAGAACATAGACATCTCCATCATTGTGGAAAGTTCTTTTGGGCAGCCATGGTCTTCATGAACAGCTCCCTACATAGTTAAACAGGCACAATATAGAGGAAGATCCACACAGGGTAGCTATATACTCAAAGCCTGATGCACAGTAGATACTGCTTATTAAAGGTACATTTTATTTCCACCTAAGGCTATCAGTTTCTAAAATTTATATTTTCCATTCCTTTTAGATATGCAAAATTTTAAGTGTTTCTTTTAGTGAAGAGTGCCCTAAATAGGCACCTGACCTCTGTCTCTATCACTTTGTGATAATATTAGATTAACGTTGCTGCTAAAATGAACTTAGTGGCTTAAAACTAATTTATTGTCTCAGTTTTGTAGGTGAGATATCTGACACAGGTCTCACTTGGCTAAAATCAAGGTGCTCACAGGACTGTGTTCCTTTCTGGAGGCTCTGGGCAGAATTCATTTCCTTGACATTCCTTGACTGTTGACCTTCCATCTTCAAAGAAGCAATGGCAGGTTGAGTTTTTCTCACATCACATAACTCTTTATTTATTTATTTATTTATTTTGAGACAGAGTCTCACTGTGTTGCCCGGGCTAGAATGCCATGATGTCAGCCTAGCTCACAGTAACTTCAGACTCCTGGGCTCAAGCAATCCTTCTGTTTCAGCCTCCCGAGTAGCTGGGACTACAGGCATGTGCCACCATGCCTGGCATGCCTGGCTAATTTTTTCTATATATATTTTTAGTTGGCCAATTAATTTCTTTTTATTTTTAGTAGAGATAAGGTCTTGCTCTTGCTCAGGCTGGTTTCGAACTCCTGACCTTACGCAATCCACTTGCCTCAGCCTCCCAGGGTGCTAGGATTACAGGTGTGAGCCACCACACCTGGCCTCATATCACATAACTCTTGACACACTCTTGCATTTCCCTCTTCCACTTATAAGGACCCTTGTGATTACATTGGGCCTAAATGGATAATCCAGGATAATCTCCCCCTCTCCACATCAGCTGATTAGCAAACTTAATTCCATGTGCAACTTTAACTCCCATTTGTCATATAAGCTAACATTTATGTATGTTCCAGGAAGTAGGATATGAACATCTTCGTGGTCCATTATTCTACCTATCAGAGTGAAGTTGATCAAATCACTCTTCATCTCTGGTTTTTGCACTCATAAAGTTGAGACTGGTTTATATGCTCTCCATGATCCTTTCCAACTTTAACAGCTAGGACTCCAAACTGACAAAAATTAATGGTTACTATTAACAACAGTTGGTCTTTCATTGAATTTGGACTAAATAATTATTCTTAAATAATGTAACTCTGAATTAATGTTCAGAAGTAACTTCTAGAGATATTGAACTGTGATTCTCCCAGAATAAGTGTTGGCTAGAGCCCCACACACACAAAAAACCAAATAGAAGGCAATGGACTTTTCTAGTTACCATCAGAATAGAGACATAAATGATGACTTTTAAAATGTATGGTACAATAAGTGTTTAAATTACAAGTTAATGAAGTGGCATATAAATAAGGGCTTTGATGAAGGTCAAATGATATACAGTTGACCCTTGAACAACATGGGTTTGAACTTCATGGGTCACTTATACATGGATTTTCTTCTGTCACTGCCACCTCTGAGACAGCAAGACCAACTCCTCCCTTTCTTCCTCAGCATACTCAACATGAAAATGATGAGGATGAATACCTTTATGATGATCCACTTCCACTCAATGAATAATATTTTCTCTTCCTTATAATTTTCTTAATCACATTATTTTTCTTTCGCTTACTTTTTTTATTTATATATTTTTAGAAACAGGGTCTTGCTCTGTTGCCCAGCCTTAAGTACAGTGGCACAATCATAGCTCACTATAGCCTCTAACTCCTGGGCCCAGGATATCCTCCTGCCTCAGCCTCCCAAGCAGCTGGGACTACAGGTGCATGGTAGCAGGCCTGGCTAATTTTTTATTTTTTGTAGAGATGAGGTCTTGCTATGTTGCTCAGGCTGGTCTCGAACTCCTGGCCTCAAATGATCCTTCCACTTCGGCCTCTCAAAATGTTGGGATTACAGGGGTGAGCCACCACACCCCACCTAGTTTACTTTATTGTAAAAATACAATATATAATATATATTACAAAATGTGATAATTGGCTGTTTATGTCATCAGTAAGGCTTCCAGCCAATGACAGGCTATTCATAGTTAAGTTTTTGGAAAATCAAAAGTTGTATGTGGGGGCCAGGCGTGGTGGCTTACACCTGTAATCTTAGCACTCTGGGAGGCCAAGGCGGGAGGACTGCTTGAGCTCAGGAGTTCAAGACCAGCATGAGCAAAAGCAAGACCCCATCTCTACTAAAAACAGAAAGAAATTAATTGGCCAACTAAAAATATATAGAAAAAATTAGCTGGGCATGGTTGCGCATACCTGTAGTCACAGCTACTGGGGAGGCTGAGGCAGGAGGATTGCTTAAGCCCAGGAGTTTGAGGTTGCAAGGCTGATGCCACAGCACTCTAGCCTGGGCAATAGAGTGAAACTCTGTCTCAAAACAAAACAAAAAAAAGTTATATGTGGCCAAGCCCAGTGACTCATGCCTGTAATCCAAGCATTCTGGGAGGCCAAGGTGGGAGGATCCCTTGAGGTCAGGAGTTTGAGACCAGCCTGAGCAAGAGATCCTGTCTCTATAAAAAAATACAAAAATTAGCTGGGTGTAGTGGCGTGTGCCTGTGGTCCCAGCTACTTGGGAGGCTGAGGCAGGAGGATCACTTAAGCCCAGGAGTTTGAGGTTTGGTGAGCTATGATGATGCCACTATACTCTAGCCAGGCAACACAGTAAGACTGTGTCTCAAAAAAAAAAAAAAAAAAGTTATATATGGATTTTTGACTGCTTGTATGGGGCAGGGTGTTCAGTACCCTTATCCCCACATTGTTCAAGGGTCAATTATATAGTTTAAATTTTGTCTATTAATCTTTACCTATCCCCTGCTTCTAAATAATCAAATTTGCTGAATCATTAGATGAAAGTCTTATGAATAAATATTGACAACAAACTTCATGTTGCCATGACAATGAGTAAAAACAATCACCTAAATGAAAGTCATTCAAATTGAAGGAAATAGTCAGAAGAAACTCTGGTAACAGGATTCATCTTTACCTTTAACTTACCAAAATGTCTCCTCTAGAAGAAAACAATCTCTTGGTTCTTTTGTATTTTGAGGAATAAACTAGTTATGTATCTTTAATATACTACAGAATAAGTGTTTTGATTAGAAATTAAAAGTTGACAAAAGGAGTAAATCCTTCAGCATTGATTTTTGAATTCATCTCTGTGACAGGTTTTCTTACCAATGTGTCCTTAATTACCACTGACCTATCAATCAGATGATGTCTGATTGAAATACTTCTAATAATTCACCTTAGAATCAACATTTCCTACATGTTGTCACAATATGCATTATCTAAACAATACAGTAGTTTTATATTTTTTTCATTTAATGAAGCAAAACACAAATGCTGACTTCACATATTCACATGTAACTTTTTATTTCACATTTACAACTCAACAGATGAGTGAATCCAGAGGAACTGCTATAATCATTATATGGAACATACCTATAATGAAGAGGAAAAAAATTAAAATTACAGCATTTACCAGCAGAAATAATATTAAAATTAAACCATTCTGAATAATTCACCTTAAAGCATCAGAAAAAGTCTAGCAAACAAATCCATAAAGAGTATCAATACCTAATTTTATTTAAGTTTTAACAAAAAATATTATCTGAACTATGAAAGAATAGCAAAAGCTAGCTGGATTTGATTTAAATGCTTATTTCATTTTTACCTCTTCATTGGCTGACTGGAGTAGTGAATGGGGAAAGTGGTAATAGAAAAGAATAATCACAAGACTTGGAGAACCCTAAAGAGCTGAGTTTTAGAGTTATTAAAACGAAGTGTTAGTTTGTGACCATTGTTTATCATATAGCAGCTATAAATTATTAATATCTACTTTAATCAGTCCAATCATGAAAGTTAAAATTTTTAAGAGTGATTTTTTCACTTTACAAAAGGATTAATATAGGGTTTATTTAAAAGGGTTTGCAGAGATACACCTAATGTATATATGGTATATTTATATGTATGTAATACACATATATTAGGTATATATATATATATTTTTGGAGACAGAGTCTCTACTCTCTTGCCTGGGCTCGAGTGCCGTGACATCAGCCTAGCTCACAGCAACTTCAAACTCCTGGGCTTAAGCGATCCTCCTGCCTCAGCCTTCCCGGTAGCTGGGATTACAGGCATGCGCCATCATGCCCGGCTGCTAATTTTTTCTATTTTGGCTAATTTCTTTCTATTTTTAGTAGAGACGGGGTCTCGCTCTTGCTCAGGCTGGTCTTGAACTCTTGAGCTCAAGCAATCCTCCCTCCTCTGCCTCCCAGAGTGCTAGGATTACAGGCATGAGCCACTGCACCTGGCCTAGGTGTATATATTTTTTATATATATATATATATATATATATATAAAGTCACTCTCTCTTTTAAATCATAGAGTATGCTATTTTGTTCACTGCTAGTTTTACCAGGAATTGTCCAACTGGATGTTAGCTGTAGTGACAATCATAATAAAATGGTCATGCAGAAAAAAGTTTAAAAACCTATCACCCTTATACATTCATCAATTCTACAATTAAATTCATAGATGGGCCAGGCATTTGACAAATTGCTGAGTACATGACAATTAATAAAACAGACAGAGTTCCTATTCTCATGGAATTCATACTCAAGTGTGGAACATGCCAAACAGATATTAAGAAATATATCCACAAGTAATGATAACTTGTCATATGCTATAAAACAAGGTATAAGGTACTATTAGGGTTAAGAAAATAATTTTGGTTTCATTCTTAAACATAACTTTCTTTGAACACAGAGTCAAAGAATAATAATTAAAACCAATTATGTTTCAGGCAAGGTATTAAAAATTCATAAATTTGTCACAGACAGGAATATGGGTGTTAAAAAGTATAAACATAATGAAAAAATCAGTTTGGGTTTTTATTTAAAAAGAGGTCAAATTATCTTGCATAATCTGTGCATCCTATAAAATTGTATACTTACTATATTAGTATTTCAAAAGCTTATTCCAACCCATTTCTTCTTTTATACTCCAAAACATCTTCATTATATTGTTTGATGAGCTGTAAGTAGTTAACATTTAAAGTCAGAAATGTAATCTTTCTGGAACTTTTATAAATAGGAGGCTAACTAATGATGCTTATATTTTACAAGAGGAATAAGGGTAGATAAAAATAATTACAATTATTCCAGTTAGAAATAAAAGGCTAAGAGATCCAAAAACCATGTATACACTTGGTCATCACAATTTGACATACTACATTTGAGAAGGCAGCCCTTAAAAGATTAAATACAACTTCTGTCAAAAAAAATTACTTCATTTAGTGGGTAATAAGTGGGACAAAATGCCTTACTGCAGAGGGGCTAGTGATACATCAGAACTTGGTTATTGTATGGGATCCAGGCCTGTTGGTGGGTACATGTCATACTTCTAATCTTAGAAGTTTGATACTGACTGAATGACTAACACCGCCTCCATCTCCCACTATATGTGTATTAATTAGAAGTCAAGAAGGAAAGCCACTTTCTTAGAACTCCTGCCTGACAGAATATGCAACTGGAACAATGGTTGATATATGATGACATTTACAGCAATCAAAAATCCAATTTCAATCATAGTGTTCTCAACAGCAATTAAGCTGCTTTTTAGGAAAATCCTAAAGTTAAGAATGTATAAAATTTCATTATAACAAACATTAATGAAAAGGATGAATTACTACTCTTAAGTTGTAAGCGACTTCCAAAATCTCTTAGCCCTTTTAAAGTCAAAGTTCTGAACTACTTTAAGGAGAAAATCCAAATAAGAGATCTAAGAGCTGGAGGTGGGGGCCAGTCAAACTCATTATATACAAAAAAATTTTTAAATACTAATACTATAGTAGATACTTTCAGTCAATTTTTAGAAATTATTTTATCTCTACAAAGGTAGCATTTCACAGTAGTTATGTGGTCTCTGAGATCAGAGAGATCTGGGTTCAGCAAACTAATTTCTCCAGATGTGTTTCTTCATCTTTTTTTTTTTTTTTTAACTTTTATTTTTTTATTTTTAGTAGAGACGGGGTCTTGCTCTTGCTCAGGCTGGTCTTGAACTTCTGAGCTGCAACAATCCACCCGCCTCGGCCTCCCAGAGAGCTAGGATTACAGGCAGGCATGAGCCACAGCGCCCGGCCATGTTTCTTCATCTTAAAGGATTAAAAATAATGGTATGTATTCTATGTACACTCCATAGAGTGTACATTTAATCTTGAAATGATTAAATGAGAGTTTACATGTGAAGCATTTGGCATAAAGATTTTTTAAAAAGGCTGCTAAACACTAAGTAAAGTTTCCAACAATTTATACAAACGTTAATTAAAATCTAATATTTTGGAAGTCTACTGGGATTTTCTTTTTTTTTTTTAAGACTGGTCAAGTGCTGTAGTGAGGAGGGGGGAAAGTAGTAGAACAAGAAGTTCAATCTGTAACTGACTGTGAACAATCACGTGAGACAACTCACTACCTTCGGACCAGCTGCTTTGTTCCTATGGTCTCTGGAAAAGGTGCCTTCATAAAACCCCAACCAGCCTCAAATCTTATTAAGAAATAAATATAACTATTTATGGATATACCTTAAAGCAATACAAGTCGATGTACCATTTGATCCAGCAATCCCATTACTGGGCATCTACCCAAAATAACAAAAGTCACTCTATGAAAAAGACGCCTGCACTCGAATGTTTATAGCAGCACAATTCACAATTGCAAAGATGTGGAAACAACCCAAGTGCCCATCAATACATGAGTGGATTAATAAAATGTGGTATATGTATACCATGGAGTACTATTCAACTATAAGAAAGGACAGTGATAGAGCACCTCTTGTATTTTCCTGGCTGAAGCTGGAACCCATTCTATTAAGTGAAATATCCCAAGAATGGAAAGATAAGCACCACATGTACTCACCAGCAAATTGGTTTTAACTGATCAACACCTAAGTGGACATATAGGAATAACATTTATCGGGTGTCTGGCAGGTGGGGGGGATGGGTACATACACACATAATGAGTGCCATGCGCACCAACTGGGGGATGGACACGCTTGAAGCTCTGACTCAAGGGGGGAGGTGGGCAAGGGCAATATACGTAACCTTAACATTTGTACCCCCACAATATGCTGGAAAAAAATAAAATTAAAAAAATAAAAAGAAACAAATATAACTAATATTTAGTAAAACTGCCATTCCTCACAAAATCATGCTAAGTTAATAATGACAAACAGAAATTTCACCCTCATCATACTTTGTCAATGCCACTGAAACTGTAATTTCTTTTAAGTCCTCGGGATTTCCTGAGAAATGTTATTAGTGATTACATTTCCTATTGTTATGGGAGTTTTACTCTCATACAACCAAACAGTACCATTCTCAATCTCACACTGACTGCTATCTCATTCTCCCACTGTGTTGGGGTCTCAAGACACATGAAAGTAAAGTACTTACATAGACCCACATAAAGACGCTGGTGCCCAAGGTCAACCCAACTTTCAGCCAGTCAGGTTTGTCGTTTGGCGGGTCCCGCACGTAGAACTTTGACCGCGCTGAAGCTGAAACGGGACAGAGTCTGTAAATCTGTAACTTGCTGCCTTGTAAGAAAAAAACCTAACATTTACGTGTGTATTATCTCATTTAATTATCCTTTCAACGCACTCCGCCCCAACACACACACTTAACAGCCAAGGAAACAGAGGTTCAGACAGGTCAGGTAACTCGCTCTGCGCCAATAGCAGAGCCAGAGAGGTTGCTCCTGTCTCGCCGGACGCCTTCAAAGCCTGGTTTAAGACCTTGGAGACCCTCAGACCACTCGGGATGGGCGAATAGGAGGCGCCCCAGGGAGGGTCTCCCCTATCCCAGACTGCAGCACCGAACCTGCAGAGTTGAGAGGGGAGGGACCCAAAGGGGTCAAAAGGGGTCAGGAGGCACTTGGAAAAGGGCTGGCGGCGGGATAAGCGGAGCGGACAGTCTCGGGTAGGGGCAGGCGTGGGGTCCGGGCCGCCAGTCCGCGAAGGTCATTGCAGGACGAGCCCGGGCCGTTGCCACCTCCTACCCCTGCGGGCCGGGTCTGCCCTGGGAAGGGTAGGATCAGGGTCAAGTCGGCCTGCACGAAAATGGACACTCACAGCCACTTGGGAGCCTGGCGGGGGCCAGCAGCCGTGAGAAGGGTCGCAGCAGTGCGGACGGCGCCATCTTGCCGGGCGCAGCTCCGCCTCCTTGGGCGTCGGCGCCGGATGTGCGCCCCCTGGCGGGCGGAAGTGCGGGCCTCGCGGGCTCAGCAACCCAGATCCCCCGGGGAGACGACGCGAATCCTAGTTATGGCAGGTTCCCTAGCACCCCTGGCCTTCTGTCTGTAAAGCAATTAAGAAGGAAATGATTAAGAAAAAAAAAGGTAGTTTATCCACTTCTCTATCCTTTGAGAGTGTATTTTCACCCCCTTCCCGGGGACACTTATGAAGGAGTTTACTGTTATATTAATAAAAGCTTCCAATGTGAGCCAGAAAACTGAAAATGAAGTGTGCTGAATAATAACTAGCAATTAAATTGAATTCTGTATTCCAGGCACGGTGCATTAATGTGTTATATGGTTTACATTCATTGTCTTATTTCATCTTCACAACCATCACGTGACATGCTGTGCTTATTAGCAAATTTACAGGTGAAGCTCAAAGACCATGGCTACTCATCCAAGGTGACATATTATACCTTATATTTAAAATGATATCTTAACAATTCTTAAAGTCCATTTACACTCACAATCCTGTTAAGTAGAGAGAATTACCATGCCTTAGAAGTAAAAGTGCCCAGAAGGGCTCAAGATCACACAGCTGGCAGAGGTAAGATTCAGTTTGAGGTCTCCTGTCCCCAGATCTAGTGATCATTTCTAGCCCACCTAACAAGGCCAATAAGATGTAGATCAGAGTTGAAAATTCCACTCTTGTTTACCACTTTTTAGCTGTATGAGTTTTAGGCAAATTACTTAACCTCTCTATGCTTCAGTTTTACAACTGTAACATCCTATGGCGTCATCCAGAACCTATAAAATGTCTGGTAGTAGTAAACAACTTGTTTAGTTTCGCCTATTAAAGACATTGTTCTGGCAGGGCCCGGTGGCTCACGCCTATAATCCTAGCACTCTGGGAGACCAAGGCAGGAGGATAGCTTGAGGTCAGGAGTTCCAGACCAGTCTGAGCAAGAGCAAGACCCCATCTCTGCTAAAAATAGAAAAAATATTAGAAAAAATTAGCTGGGCATGGTGGTGCATGTCTATAGTCCCAGCTATCATGGAGGCTGAGGCAGAAGGATTGGTCGAGCCCAGAAGTTGGAGGTTGCCATGAGCTAGGCTGACACTACGACATTCTCCTGGCAACAGAGTAAGACTCTGTCTTAAAAAATAAAATAAAATAAAAAATAATTACATCCTTTTGACCAAGATGTTTCATCTTGCACACTGAGCCAGATTTTTGTGCATTCAATTCTCAGTTCAATCTGAGGCCTAAAGATCATAGAAAAACATGTATAGGTAACAAAAATAATAAATTTTGACCATTTAAAACTAATCCTTTATACTCTGGGAGGCCAAGGTGGGCAGATCGCTTAAAGTCAGGAGTTCGAAACCACCCTGAGCAAGAATAAGACCCCATCTCTACTAAAAATAGAAATAAATTAATTGGCCAACTAAATATATATAGAAAAAATTAGCCAGGCATGGTGGTGCATGTCTATAGTCACAGGTACTCAGGAGGCTGAGGCAGAAGGATTGCTGGAGCCCAGGAGTTGGAGGTTGCTGTGAGCTACACTGATGCCATGGCACTCTAACTCGGGCAACAGAGTGAGACTCTGTCTCAAAAAAATAAATAAAATAAAACTAATCCTTTAAGCTTAAAGCCATTTAGGTTAATTTTAAAAGCAAAACAAATGTTAGCAATCTTTTTTTCCTTCTATATTTTCTTTAGCAATCTTCTTTTTTTTTTTTTTGATAGGAATTCCTACTTAAGCAATCTTCTTTTAAAATCTTCTTTAATCAAAAATTACTGACCAAAGAGTAATAATTGTGCTATGTTTTCTGGCCCATTTTTACATGCAAATGATGGCTAAATGTATTGCTAAATTGTGAATCATTTTACTTTGTAAGCTAGTTTGAGCCTCCTAGACTCATGCTCAAGTAAGCAAACCACCCAACTCATGTGCTGAGTCAGTTGTTGGTTGTTAACTTAGTGGCTTCTTGTCCACTCAGCAACCTGTCAATTGTATGTCCTTTCTACACGATCTTTTGGAAGCTTGTCCTGACGAAGCTTTTGCTAGTATCCAACAAGTTGAAACAGAAGCCACGTTTAGTCAGAGTATACAGTTTAATCAGAGTATACAGAACCAGTAAGGAAATTACTAATTTCAGTACTACTGTTGGGAAAGGCTGTTTTGTTCTTTTTTTCAGAGCTTTGGTCCCTATGTTCTTTTACTATTATATATTTTGGGAAAGTAATGATGAAATATAAGCACATTTCTCTCAGTATATTAGAGTTGATGGAAACTTACACTTGGAGTATCCAGCTGTATGTGAAACTCCATCTTGAAAAGAATCCTGATGAAGCAATTCTAGCTAGGAACTATTTTGGTAGAAGTTGCTTCATAACATTCATTTAGCATTTTCAGAATTTGAACACTAAAACTTTATTCATGACTCAGGTGAAGAAAGGGAGATTCGAGTTAGCAGCTAGAAATGCAAAATTTTAGTCCCAGATTTTTCTGCTGGGAAACATCTTACTGACCTCATATCTCCCAGGAACAGTTAAAAAAGAGCAAGAGCTGAAAACAGTACAAAATGCAAAACCACTATATGTATGTTTATGGATTTATGATGCATGAGAATACTACAGATCAAATTCAGGACCTGGAGAGGGATGGACCTCCTGATGTATCCAGAAGTTTTTATTTAAAAAAAAGTCATAAATTGATAGCAAAATGCTAATATTTGTTGAATCTAGGTGACAGGCCAAGAGCAGTGGCTCATGCCTATAATCCCTGCACTTTGAGAGGCCAAGGCAGGAAGATCGCTTGAGGCCAGGAGTTTGAGACCAACCTGGGCAACATGACAAGATCCCATCTCTGCAAGAAATAAAACAAATTAGCTGGGCATGGTGGTGATTGCCTATAGTCCTAGCTACTTGGGAGGCTGAGCCAGGAGGATCACTTGAGCCTTGGGGTTGGAGGTTGCAGTGAGCTGTGATCATGCCACTTCACTCCAGAGTCTCATCCAAAAACAAACAAACAAACAAAAAAACCAACAAAAGAAATCCCTAGGTGACAAATACATAGATTTTTTAAATAGTTTTTAATAAAATCTAAATAATAAATAAGATGTAAAATCTCAATAGAGAACATCTTACATATATGAAGATGAGAATTTTCACTCTACGTATTCCTTTTGTACAATTAAAACTTGCAAGGTAAATGATTTTATTTTATTTATTTATTTATTTATTTATTTATTTATTTATTTATGGTTAATTATTATAGAGGTGGCATTTTGACCACAGTGACATGCAAGTGCATGTGGTAATACAAATGAATTCATTTTGACTACAGTGACATGCAGGTGAATGTGGTAATATGAATGAATTATTATCATTATCATCATCAGCAGCAGCAGATAGCCTTGGATATGTTGTCTTCCTGGAAGCCTAGCTGTCATTAACAGCAAAACTCAAATTAAATGGGATCTCTATCAAGTGGTAGTGATCAGAGTAGATATTTTATTGTTGAGTTTAGGCTATCAAGTCACTGACTGTGTGGTCAGGTTGTTATCTAGGAAATAAATCAGATAAATGTTAAATCAGACGAGTGCTCACTGAGACAGCCCAAAGGAATTTGCCACACTATATTGCTGGCTCATCTAATCAGGTACTCAGCTTCTGGTGGAAACTGTTGTTTGTTTCAAAGGCCAGAAATTTTCTTCCTCTGAAGGGAAAAATAAAATATTATTTACAGGAGAAATTTAGGAAACCATAGCAAATAATACTGCTGTCAGACTTTTGGATATGAAGCCAGAGATTTGAAAACCTATTAATAGCTAAGCTGAAATTATCACCTGCAGTTAGACAATTTTTCTATCTTTTAATAGTTCAGATAGTTGAAAGACATCTTAGGAGAGTAAATTTTGCAGGTTACCACTATATTAACAACTTTTAAAAAATGAATTCTAAACTTGTTCTTAGTTTTAAATATATAAAAAAGTGAAAGTTAAAAAACTGGCCACATTTCAAAATTGAAACATAGTTTCCTGTAGACACAATTTTCTTAAACTGTTGAAGAGAGATCACAGAAGGAAATTCCAGGAATTGACTGCTAAAACCATATTTATGATTCAGGCGAAGGGAGAGGGCAATCAAGATAGCACCTAGAAAACTCAAGTTTTAGTCTCAGGTTTTTAACCTGGGAAACATCTTTCTCAACTCACACCTGTGGGGTCAGCGGTTAAAGAAGAGCAATTGGAAAATTGTAAAATATCTTTGTGAAGAAATATGAAAGAGCAAAACTAATCCAAATATATTGTTTAATGATTCATAATGCAAAAAATGCTACAAATCTAATTAAGGATTTAGAAAGAGATTAAATGGCTCAAATGACTTGAAAATTTTTATATCATCAAAGGAATGTGACTTTGAAAAAGTTTTACTATTGCTATTAATGAAATGACTTACATTTTTGAAAGGGGTCCGATTCAATATCTAGTCTGACCTTGCTCACTAGAGCAGTATCCTGTAAGATGTTCTTTGGCTTCTGAAATTTGAAAATTTCTGGTAATGGGGAGTTCAATGAGTCACAATAGTAAACACTAACTTGACGCCAGGACAGTGTCCTTTCACTCTCCAATACCCCCAAGGTGACTCGTCCAGTGGGTCTGTCAACTCTGCATTGTATGGACTCAATAATTAAATAAAAACACACACTTCAACCTTCAGAGGCTCCTTTGGTAGTACAAATATGTGACTTCAGATCTGGCTAACTACTTTTCCAGGCTCATCTTAATGTTCACCAAATCATTGATACCTCAGTCAGCCAGACACATTTAATCAGTCAAGCTCTTTCACGCTTTTCAGACTCTATTAAGGCTCTTCCTCTACATATCTGTTCACAAGTTCTAAATGTAGTGAAGACTTTTTTATTTTCCCTTCCGCCTCTGCTCTTTAATTAGGCACTTCGTCCATGATCAAATACAGCGCTTCTTGGACACC